CAAGTGTGAGAGATGCTTGGCTTTCGGGTTGCATCATTGCGCCGATCTCAGTCGTGGCACAGCGAGTCATCGCCTTGGAGTGGGCTCGTGCTGCCAATGCCAGTCCAGAAATCTTGAGATTGCTGACACCTTCCGTATGGCCCTCTCTCCGGCCGCGCCTTCTGCGGGGGGTGGAGTTGGACATGTACGTGCACGTGCCCGGTAAGGATTGATAGGAGATGCATCAGCCAGATGACCCCGCTTTCTGCACGCAGCGGGAAGTCTTTGCAAAGTTTGCGCGCGAGCTTGGATGGATCAAGGAGCGGACCCGTCTCGCGGCACTCCCTGCGAGCCGATGAAGTCGGCGTTTAGGTGGGCCGAGGAGGCTCATGGGGACGACGAGTTGCTTTCCATCCATGCTAAGGGCTTCTGCGACGGTGAAGCGGCCTTCTTCTTCTTCTTCGGTTCCGGTATTGGCGGTTCAGCGGCGGAATGTATGCACCCAGGCTGCGGGCGACGACCGCTTATCCTTTTCTGACTTCTGGTCGTTTGGGGCAGACGATCAAGGTCGCAGGTCGCAGTGTTGCGGTGGCTTCGGCGGCCCTGAGCGGCGACTTGGAGAGGCTGAAGGACATCTTCGAGTCAGACGACTGCTCCATCTTTGTTCAGCATCCCGGTGTGGCAGAGGCTAATCTGCCAGATGTTCTCGAACACTGGACTCTTCGCGAGTACGTGGAGTCGGCATCCTTGCGTGCCGCGAGAAGGTCAAGCAGACGTCACAGTTTGCAGGCTGTGTTGTTGTGGATGGAGGGANNGAGGGACAAGAATCGACAGAGGCTTCGATTTTGCTTTCGGCCCTATGAATGAATACTTGGATGTCCTGCGGACTCTGACGCTGAAAGGCAAAGCTTTTCATGTCTTCAGCTTTGAGAAGTGGAATAGTCAGTTGCGGTTGATCAAGGGCTGCTACAGCGGGCAGGAGAACGTGGTGTCGGAACTTTTGAAGGTCGGAGCTCCAGATGAGATGAGTCCGTTGTTTACATTCAAGACGGTTGGCATTCCTCATCACCCGCAGGTGTCTTCCTGGCCTCTGCGCACTCTACTGGAGGCTCGTGCTTTAGGGGTGGCTGTGGCGCAGCTGAAGGAGGCTATTTGGGACTGTAGGAAATTGCTCAGAGAGTGGGAATATCATTGTGTGTTGTCGGTGCCTCATTCTGTCACTCTTTTTCGTCCACTGCAAATGCGATCTCTGGAATGCTTTCTCTGCGAAGAGTCCTGACGGCCNNACATGCGACCCGGGATGGGGAGCTGCGGCAGACTGGCAGCAAATGTCATGGGGGCTTATCTGGGGTGCTCTTCTGGCGACGCAGACTAATGATCGGGAGCTTGTCCCGCCGAGTGCTGGCCGGTAGGGGCTCGCCTGTCCGTTCTCGGAAGGAAAAAAAAGCTGCTGCTCTGTGCTCATGAGACGCGCGCTGGCACCCAAAAGGCGTGCAGATTCAGACTACTGCTCTCGAGACGGTCCTTCGCTGTGCTTGCTGGGATGTGCATTTGCAATTGACAGTTTGTTATTTTACTTGATCTTCTTGCTCAATTGAATGCCACTCTCTTTGTGTCGTTGCTAGCCTGTGGACCTGCAATGGGATTCAGTAAATCCAATTCATGGAGACCGCAAAGTGGTTCCCGAACAAGAAGGATAACTTAACAGTGCAGATTCGACACAGTAAGGAATACAAAGTGAAACTTACCTGGCCGAACGTCTGTTTCCCGGCATCTGCGCCCATTGTTGTGAACTTGGCATGCTGTCCGAAATTCAGTCTTAGTGTACTTGTGAGTAAACCTGACTCAGGTCTACACGAACGGCCATGTTCGAGTCGAGAGCGAGATGGTGATCATGTGTCATAAAACACTTCTGGGGTTCTCCGGTCCTTTAATTTACTGGGGAGAGCCTGACTGCCTCTGGGGTTTGGCAGCCTATGCTGAAGACTCTTAAGTCAGGCAGCGCCAGGAGCACGCGGTCTTGTGAGGGGACCACGGAGAAGTTTGCTCTTCTGCGAACCAAAAACGGGCTGGCGGCTCGAGTCGCCGACCCTGTTTTCGCACACGACACCACACCGACCGAGACCGCAACCCGCCCCCAACAACATGGCGACCAACAACATCGCGCAGCACCTGTGTGGCGCTCAAGTGGCCCATCTAGGCACCGGCAGGTCAGAGGGAGTACAGGGGGGCTCCAAATTTAAGAAATGGGGAATCCAATATTGGAGCCACGTGTGTACGCTGTGCCCGGCATTATGGAGTTCAGGAGGGCTTGATGCTGGCAAGATCAACCAAGGCACAATTTCTTGCATTCTAGGACATCCGAAACCACTTGCACCTCCATCCGGAAGCGGTAACAAGCGTCCTCAGGTGCTCTCCAACGCTTGCCATCCTCGGGCGTGAACACGACCTGATACAGCATTCTCCCCTTTGGTCCCAAACCTTCAACCCAAACCCTACATGATCCCCCCCCCTACGAAATCCAAAACAGGAGCTCGTCAGATTTATGAATCTCTTCTTAGGTGCCCCATGCAACATGCCCTCTACTGCTTACGACTCCCACAAGCGGACTAAAACTTTGCAACCCCGAACCCTAAACATCATAATTACCCCCAACCCTAGACCCTAAACCATAGCTATGAAAACCTAATGCTCCACCTCGAAATCGGGCATTGGAGCGACGAACTGCCCAGCGGCATGGCTGACTGGAAGAGCAAGCAGCAGCGCAAACACCCAGGCCATCCGACATGTCCCAACTGCCCGCATGAATCAGTTCCCCTATGACTTTCACATCTTGATGTG